TCGGCGCTACGGCCCCTTCCCGCTCGGGGTTTCCCCCCAGCCCCCGGCAATGCCACCGCCAGTGCCGCCCACAGTGCTGGTGCCGTCGGAGCGCGCAGTGGTGCTGCTGTCGTGCGCGCTTTCCGCGCTCGGCTCGGGCCTGCTGGTGGCCACGCACGCTCTGTGGCCAGACCTGCGCAGCCAGGCGCGGCGCCTGCTGCTCTTCCTGTCGCTGGCCGACCTGCTCTCGGCCGTCTCCTACTTCTACGGAGTGCTGAAGGACTTCTCGGGGTCCTCGTGGGACTGCGTGCTGCAGGGCGCGCTCTCCACCTTCGCCAACACCAGCTCCTTCTTCTGGACCGTGGCCATCGCTCTCTACCTGTACCTCAGCATCGTGCGCAGCGCACAGGGGCCCCGGTCCGGCCGCCTGCTCTGGACCTTCCACGTCGTCAGGTGGGTGGCGGCGGCGCTGCTTCCCCTCTAGGCCCCCGCTCTGGTGCAGCCCCGCCTGGACCCCGCCGGACCTCTCTTGTAGAAAGCGCCCCCCGCCGGCGGCCACACCTCCCCGGAGCCAAAGGTGGCCTAGCCGGGATTGGATGCCCTGGAGCAGTGACTGCTCCGTGCCCAGAGGACAGCCCTGAAGGAGCTGCTCATTGCAGCGTATGCCGCGAGCGTCGCCGCAGAGGGCACCCCTCTCTTCCTGCTCCAGCCTTCAACTTCCCAGAGCGAGGTGACCGCTCAGCTCAGCCCCATGCTAGGTGAGGGGGCAGTGCTTGCGCGCAGAGGCTGCCCCGAGGAGTTAATGAGGACACTCTGTGCCCTCTTGCCTCTGCTTCACTGAACGCCAATTATCTCTTTTGCCTAATGAGAGAGAGACGCGCTTGTCCCCAGGCTGAGAGTTGAGTAGGTGGGTGCCCCAGGACGCAGAGCCAGGCTGCTCCCAATCCGATGCCACCTCTCTAGCCACACACGGTGGGTGTGGCGCGTTCAGCCACTCCCAGGGCAGCAAAATGTAGTGCCTAAGCTATGAAATGTACAAGAGACTCTCTCTGTCTCTGTCTTTCTCTCTGTTTTTCTTCTTCATTTTTCTTTGTTCACCTCTAGACTTTAGGCCTCTTTGTATTTCTGTTCTTGGTGATCTTGGCTTTCTAGAGTTCAGAACTACTCTAAGACGAGTGGCGGAGGCCTGCTTAGAAGAGGGCTGCAATCTGCCTAGAGTTTCTCCCAGAGGAGGGAAAACCCGGGCTTGGCCCTGCCCTGCAGGGCAGGTGAAGCACCTGATCAGGGAACCCTCACCCAGGGGAAAAGGTTGGAGGCCTTAAGATACAAAATCTGGGAATGATCATGGGTGATGATTGCGCAACGTGATTAATGTAATTGAATCTCTAAATTGTATACCTGAAAAATGTGGATTTGGCAAATGTTTTATATACATGGTTTTTTAAATACTAATTTAAAAAAGAAAAGAAAAGATGCCAGCTTTCAAGATGCCAGAATCTCCTGGTGTATGTGAGGAACAGGCAGGAATCTTAGGACTCATTTCCCCCAGTTAAGAGCCCTGACTACTGTCCTAATTATAGGTCCCTTCTATTAAAAACCTTGAGTACTTTCCAAAGGACTGAAAGGACAGTCAGCACTTGGGTAGAGACAGGTCACCTGGGTGTCACAATGATGAGGTCACAAGCTCAAAAGAGTCATTTGACCCCAGCTCTTGGAGCCGTTGAATGGGGGCCAGCTGATCCGTGGGAAACCAAGTGACCTGCTTCTCTGCTGTTGAAGTCAGGATGACAGTTTTGTGATTCTAGCAGTGCTGCAAATGCTGCAGGGGTCAGCAGAAACAGGGCTACCTTTCCCCTCCTTGGAGCATCCCACACAACTAGGAGCTGCTTCAAAGACTCCTCCTTGGCAGGGCTGCTGGGTATGGGTAGCAGATACACCTGTGTGCACAGCTTCATGCCCATGTGCTGGAGGAGTCCAGACTTGACCTTTCTTTGCCAAGAACCTCTTCACTCTCCTTTCCTACAATATGCTTTTCAGATGATCAGGAGAACCTGGCATAATTATTTGTAGAAATGACAGATTTCCTAAGAAACCTGAGTCAGTAGTTCAGTAGTTCTGTTCACTTCTCAGGGACTCTCAGGATGTTTTCTGCTCTGCTTAGGAAAGGCCTCCTAGGAAACTCTGTATCCCTTTCTGGACATAAAAAGAATTGTTCATCCTGTCTGTTGAATGTGATCCACCCAACGGCTTAAGAAAAAAGAAAATTACCTGTATCCAAGCTAGAGAGTGAGTTTGACAATTTATCCTTGGAGTTCTCTGTCAGAAGTTAGTACTCAGACTCTGCTGCTGTTATGTTGCTAGGTGCCTTCAAGCCAATTTTTGACTCCTAGTGAGCCCATTTGACAGAGTAGCCGCCCCATAGGGTTTTGTAGACTAATCTTTACAGGTCAAGGATTTCACTTTACGTGAATCCAGTCAACACTCATGAAAACAGCAGTCAAGAAATCAACATATTGCATTGGGCAAATCTGCTGCGAAAGACCTCTTTAAAGTATTAAAAAAGCAAATATGTCATTTGAGGACTGAGATGCACCTGACTCAAGCCATGGTATTTTTAGTCACCTCCTATGCATGTGAAAGCTGGACAATGAATAAGGAAGACAGAAGAATTGATGCTTTTAAGCTATGGTGTTGGGAAAGAATATTGAATATACCATGGACTACCAGAGAACAAACACATCTATTGGAAGAAATACAGCCATTATGCTCCTTAGGAGCGAGGATGGTGAGACTTTGTCTTACTTACTTTGGACATGTTATCAGGGGGACCAGTCCCTGGAGAAGGATATCATGCTTGGTAAAGTAGAGAGTCAGTGAAAAAGGAGAAGACCATCAGTGAGTTGGATCAACACAGTGGGCTCAAACATAACAATGGTTGTGAGAATGGTGCAAGACCGGGCAGTGTTTCATTCTGTACATAGGGTCACTGTGAGTTGAAACCAACTTGACGGCACCTAAAAACAATAGTGACAGTCTCTGTGAGATCAGATCACTAGGTCTTTCTCCCTCAGACCCACTGCATGAGTTCATACTTGGTTAGACTTTACTAGTCAAAGGGTATAGGGTAAATCCTGTAGAACAAGTTTATTTATTGACCAGTAGTTGTTAGTTGTCTGTTGAGTCAATTCCGACTCATAACAACGAACTTCTCTGTGTGGTTTTCAAGACTGTGAGCTTTAGGAAACACATTACCACGCACTTCTGGGTGGATTTGAATCACCAACCTGTTGGTTTGTACAAAAACGACATGGAGTTGGCATCTTCTGACCTTCTCCACTCTCATGAGGGGGAAACAGTCACCATCAGCAGCCCAAGGCTCATTCCTAAAAGGCCAGACATACTGCTACCCTCCAACTTTTTTACTAATTCTGACACCAGCTGTCCCTTCCACGGCCCTCCTCTGACTTCATGAAAGAGACCTCTGCATACACACGTCTCCCTCCTCTTTTTACTTGGTTGTATAAAAAAAATGGCTGCATGGATGTCTGACCTCCTTTAACTTCATGAGGGAGGAGAATCACCACCAGCAGCTTCAGCCCAAGGCTCATTCCTAGAGGTAGAAGTCCGACATGCTTCCTCTCTCCAACCTTCTTACCAGTTCTGACACCAACCTCCCAGGCACTCTCTATTTCTTAGCAGAGTTCAATAATTTGTTGCAATGGCTACAGAGAACTCACAGACAGTTCTCATGGATTGTGGGGTTTATTAGGGAAGTAACAGGCAGCAATTCAAGATCACGCTTAGGATACAGTTCTTCAATCAGGACAGTCTCCTCTCTGCTGTGCCCTCAGGCATGCTTTTCTGGCCCGTGGCCTCTCAGCCTGGCCTCTGCTCTGCTCCGACAAGTGTTACAAAGCTCTTTTAGCTCCGCTGATAGGTACACCTAGGTGCATCCCACTCCACCAGCAAGCATCTTGCCCAAGGACACTCCGCTTTCTCACTCTGGGGGCCAGGTAAGCCTGCCACTTAATCACTGCACCACCAGAACTCCTTGGGGAAAAAGATTAGGCCCATTAATAGTTAAAAAAAAAAAACCCTACAAGTTATAACAATGAAGTGCCATTTCTTCATTAAATTTGAAGAAAAATATTAGGCAGAATACTAATGTAATAAGTACTGGTGAAGCTGGTGTTTTCCTACATTATTATTGGCAATGTAAATTGGGATAATCTTTCGAGAAAGTATTTGGTTTATACCCTTGATCCAGTAATCCTATTTCTGGGCATCTAGTCTAAGGAGATAATCCAAAATATGTACAAAGTTGTATGTACAAAGGAGTTTGTGATAGCTTTATTAAAATATTAAGAATTTAAAAACAACCCAAATGTCCAACAGTAGACTAACAGTAAGTTATAGCCCCTTCCTTGAAATATTATATATCTAAGTGCCTAAGGCACTTGACTGCTAACCAGAAGGCTGGCAGTTCAAACCCACCAGACACTCCTTGGAAGGAAGATTGGGCAATCTACTTCCGTAGTGATATCGCCTCGGAAACCCAAGGAGGGCTCACTATGAGTCGGGTCCGACTCCACGGCACATAACAGCAACAGCAATGTTAAATATTAATTGTGAACACTATTAGTTGTATTTTTAAAATACTACAATAAAATGTTAGGTGAAAAAAGTCATCTGTAAAACATTGTAATTGCAGTGTGAAGGACTGCTTTTATGTGACCTTTTTAGCCATGGTCTTACAACTCCCACTAAATGATTAGGGAAGGAGCTCTGGTGGTGTAGTGCCTAAGGCATTTGATGCTAACCAGAAAGTTGGTGGTTCACATCCACCAGCCACTCCTCAGAAGGCAATACTTCCGTAAAGATTTACTGCCTCAGAAACCCAAAGGGGATCGCTGTGAGTTGGAATCAACTCAGTGGTAGTGAGTTTGGTTTGGTTTGAAATGATTGGGTGGGGCTATGCAAATTAGATGCATGGCACTTTTGTGGGGGGTGGGACCATCCAAACAAGGTGCATAGAACCCTTGTGGGGGTGAAACTATGCAAATAAGGTATATGGAACCCTAACAAGGGGATTGATCAGTTTTGCCGTCCTGCTAGGCTTAAAAGAGAGCCAATGATCCTAAAGCATGAAGGGGACCACTACCACCAAGAAGAAGAGATGGGATTGGAACACATCCTTTGGACCTTGGGTCTCTGTGCTGGGAACCTCCTAGATCTAGGCGACTGAGAGCTGTAATACTGAGAAGGAGCTAGAGGGAAGCATTGAGAGAGACATTGAGAAGTAGTGGCAGCAGAGGCAGCAGAACAAGGAGACTGGTAGGAGATGGCACAGTGTGCCTCCTGGCCCACGGATCAAGAAGGCTGAGCACCTTTGGGCAGGGAGTTTGCTGGCGGAGTAAAGTGCCTGTGGGTACTTGGTAGAGCTAGGGTCACTG